GAGCAAGATTTTCAGTCCTTGACACGCATCCTGCGATATGTCAAAGGAACCATTGATCATGGTTTGGTCTTCCGGCGAGGCCCACAGACCATCTACGCATATTCTGATTCTGACTGGGCCAACGATATGACAGATGGACGGTCCATTACAGGTTACTTGATATATCTTGGCTCTAATTTACTTTCTTGGAGTACGGAGAAACAAAGTCGTGTCTCACGCTCGTCCACCGAGGCCGAGTACAGAGCCCTCTCGGCCGCAGCAGCTGAAGTGATGTGGCTCACCTACTTGTTTGACATTTTACAGATCAAGCTCCCTCCTCCACATCTTCTATGCGACAACCACTCCACCATCTGTCTGACTAAGAATCCAGTCTTCCATAAGCGCATGAAACATGTCGGAACGGATTGCCACTTTGTTCGAGAACAAGTAATTGCAGAGAAAATGACAGTCTCTTATGTTCCTTCTAATGAGCAGTTGGCAGACCTTCTCACAAAAGCTCTTGCCTCGCCACGCTACACTGCATTGGTTGCCAAGCTTCCTCTCGTTTCACGGCGTTCAGCTTGAGGGGGGATGTTAGACATATATGGAAAGAAGTCTAGTTATAGTAGAATTGTTATTTATGTTAGTTTACTTATTTGGTGAATCCTAGTCCATGTAGGGATCCTCACCTATATAAACATCCATGTACACAATTATTCCTTAAGAGTGAATTCATAAATCAACACTTTATATACGTTTTGATGTACACTCCAATATATCAGGTAAAAAAAATAAATTAGAATTAAGTTTTATTAAAAGCATTTGATCTGTAAATTTTATAAACAAATATACAACTTATAAATAATGTCAGACATGTAATTTCTTAAAATAATTTTGACATAAGGGTTTATTCAGTTATAATTCCAAAAGTTATAAAAATATTTTATCTTATTCACTAAAAAAAGTTATAATTTGTTCTAAAATATTAACATTTCCACCGATTATAATCCCATATAATCAATTTCATTAGTAACACCAATATAAAAACAAATTTACCGGCTTTGTAAGCAGTTGATGTTACGAAATTTCAAATCAAACTAATTTGGACTTACGAACTCGGGAAAATATTTTGTAATCAGCTATATTTCAAAGGTAATACATATTTTCATTTATAAATTATATTTGAATTAAAATTGGTTTTTAATAATTAACATGCAGTGTTCTTTAAAAGTATATCTAATTTATTCAATTAACTTGAACTTATGAAGAATTATTAAAACTTTTTGAAACTGGAATCATGTCAATTCGATCTAAAACAAAATTTAAACTGGATGCATGACTATTTTAGATTAGATCTAATCATTTTCATTAATTTGAACTTAAAAAAAATAATAAAACATTTTCAATATATTTAGAAATTTACGGATCTAAAAAAAATTGATTACCTGATTTAGATGGGAGTGTGAAAAACCAAAAATCAGATCTACATGGGAAAATACCAGTGATTGCACGGATGAATTCCATGGGAAGATATACACCATCACTCAATCTGATGAGCTCTCGAACCTCTCTCCCTCGCTTTATCTCTCAATCTCTCCACATATCGGATAGGTTTTTTTCTGGCCTAAGGCCTGAAACACACACTCTATCGCTCTCTCTATCTTACCATATCTCTCGCTCTCGATCGATCTCACTGCATCCATCGCCGGTTGTGTCGATAGTTTAGAGAGGGGATAAGGCAGAAACTAGCGGCGTAAATGTGTGGTCCGTTGGATACGACGAATAGGTTAACTCAAATATGGAGCATATTTAGTTTTGGGCTGCGTTAATTGGGCCAGTAAGTTTTCAAAAATTGATGTTCTGGGCTATTATTAATTTTGTATGGGCCGAATTTACAAACAAAAAATAGTGATGATAAAAATTATATTCTATGAATTAATATGGATAGAGAACGGAAAAAATTTTTAGAACTATATTTAATTCACAATTTAAGCAGGAATTGGATGTTGGTTGCGTTCGTGTTACAAGTGCAAAGGTAAGTGAGACCCAGATTTTATGGAACCGTGTTGGAAATGCTTTGCCGTACGTGGTCATCTTTCGTGCATGCAAATTGGGGATGTTGGATGGGGATTTTTTTTGTTTGTGATGATTGTGCGAGACTACCACCACCAATAACGCCACAACCCAGACGCCGACAATCTAAGCGACTAAAAACTCCAAACAAGAAATATTTCAACGATCTTTATGTTCTTCATTAAAAAGTTATATATATTATGTTGTCGTCATTGCGTTCTTCATTACATATGTTAGATGTTATGTTTTGATTCTGTATCATTTTGAAAAATTCCGCTAATGTCATGTATGCGAATCAATCTATGGACAAATTTTGTTTTCATTGTATCGAATGCTTTTTATGATAACGGTGATAATATTTGTTTTGTTCTGAGATTTCAAAATTTAATGACACATCGTTTTATAAGCCTTCCAAGACAATACTTTAATTTTTTTTAAGTATAAAATCTAAGTTAGTATTCTTTGAGTGTCAGAATTTTCTTTTAAATGTATAAAGATAAATACGCTTATGATATATAGTCACTCCTTGGCTCTTTATTGTTAAGTTTCAAATTGAAGATCGTCATTTCTATATTAATTCATTTAAATTGTAACATATATATCACTATAATGTTTTGGATAGAAAATTGGAGATCCAATGATTCGAAAGATAAATCAAATTCTACAAGTTTTGGTGATACTAACTTGAGGAGAAAGTCTATCTTGCAATGTGAATCACCAAAAGATTCATCAAACCCTGTTACGTGTACTGCTTCCCCATTGTCAAACTTAACAAATGGTATGTCCATCCTAATAATATATGTATATATACAAACACACACACATATATGTATATATATACATATGTATGTATTGAAATTCTTGGTTTATATTTCATTCATTATTATAAGCATTGAATTTCATAGTTGTTGTCACAGCGCCATTTGATCGTTTACCATCGACTCCATTAACTCATGGCAACTCATCATCGCTAAATTCAACAATCCGAGACACATCTCTACTAAAGAGTTGCATTACACAAGACAACGTTGGCCAAAAAGTAGTTATTCCACGGTTATCTCTCACACCGTCAGATGCAAGAATTCCTTTTAGATTTCAAAGGAAACAATTCCCTATCATGACTTTGTATGCTATGACAATTAACAAAAGTCAAGGCCAATCTTTGTCCCATGTTGGATTGCTACTGAAGAAACCAGTATTCAGCCACGGTCAACTTTATGTTGCAATTTCACGTGTTACAAGTCGCGAGGGATTTAAGATCTTAATTTGCAATAAAGACCTTCCGTCAACGAACATAACTACAAATGTAGTTTATAAAAAAGTGTTCCAAAACTTATAACACTGCAGATCGACTACGGTCGTTTATGTACTTTACCTTATTTTGGGTATTTTAAATATATTTTGTTATATTTTAATTTTTGTATCATTTCTTTTTCATTTCATGACTAAATAAAATTAATTTTTCCGCCCGTGCATCGCACGGGTACGAGTCTAGTAATTAGAAAAAACAAGAGAGGTTAGGAAATAAAAAAAAAAGTGAGCCTTGTAAACGGATCATACACCATAATGTTGCTTTGCCCACTTGCCCGACTTTATTCACTTCTTTCTGGATCTTTCTTCCCTACGCCACTTCGAGTCTTTGCCGGCTCCGTTCTTCGACTCCGGCTCCGACACACAACCCAGGCAGCCCAACTGCCAGTGCGGAAGTGGCCTTTTTCAGGTGACGGTCTTCCCAGTCTCCGCCTCCTTTTCTTCTACTCCGGCAGTTCGGCAAAGTTCCCATTGCCCAGCGGCTAGATTCGTCCTTCTTAATCGAGGTATATACTCTGTTTATGCCTACCTGTCTTAGACTTATCAATTATGATTTGTTATATATGAATTTTTAATTTGTGGATTTGTGAATGTGTGATTAGGTTAATTTTCTTAATAAAACTTTATGTGAACTTTTGAGGAATGAAATGTAAGTTTGGTTGAATCAAATTAGTACCTGTAACTAGAAATGTTATGGACTGAAACCATTGCAAGGTATGGGACTTGTCCCACATCAGTTGTATGGGCAATTGATGTGGGGTTTATAGGCCAAATGGGTTCCCTCACCTATCAGACTAGTCTTTTGAGTTGAGTTCTTCCGTTTGGCCTGTAACATTGGTATCAGAGCCAACCTCGGAGTGGTGGCCTGGAGAAAGCCAGCCGTGACCAACGTGGTCGTGACCAACGAGGACGTTGGTCCTTAAGGAGGGGTGAATGTTATAGATTGAAACCATTGCAAGGTATGGGACTTGTCCCACATCGGTTGTATGGGCAATTGATGTGGGGTTTATAGGCCAAATCGGTTTCCTCACCTATCAGACTAGTCTTTTGGGTTGAGTTCTTCCGTTTGGCCTGTAACAGAAATGTGTATCAAATTTGTCCTGTATGCAAAAATTTTCTACTTAAATTTTATGCTAGCACGTTAATTGACAAAAAAAACTAATACACATGGTCATTGCTCTTGCATCAATTAACGTGATAACTCAGAATTTTAGTAGATAAATTTGGTTTGATTCACATTTATTTTCTAGTTAAAGGCACTAATTTGACTCAACCAAAATTGGCTCATGGTTTCTCTCACGGGGACCGAAATGAGTATTAACTCGAAAATATTTACTCGTATCACCTTGGAGTTGGAGGAAATTTAAGCAGGAGCAGCCACCAGCCACTACTTCTCTTGAGGGTTTTTAAGACTTTGTTGTGACATAATTTCTATCATTTGGATGTTAAATTTTGCTGAATTTGAAATTTAAACTTTATTTACAACATATAATGTGGTATATTTATATTAGTGTTACTAATGTATAGAAATTATCATTTATTACTAGTCGCTTTATAGTCACCTAGGTGGTCGCCTAGACGCCTAGGCGTCATGGCGTTACACTGGCACCGTGACTCGCCTTGGCGACATGATAACTATGGTTATAACTCAGAATTTTAGTAGATAAATTTGGTTTGATTCACATTTTCTAGTTAAAGGCACTAATTTGACTCAACCGAATTTGCAATGACCAAATTGGTTCTCTCACAGAAACCAAAATGAGTATTAACTCGGAAATATTTACTCGTATCACCTTGGAGTTGGAGGATTGGTGAGTAAGCCTTCAAGTAGCCAAGAAGATTTTCTGATCAAAATCTGTATGATTTTGCCAATAATAATAAAAGACCAAGTCATGCGCTCTATCTTTCAACTCCAAGAAACTTCTTTCAATGTCCCCCTTTATGATCTGAAACAAATGGCTTCAACACTGCACCATATATAAGAATATAATTGATTTTCAATTGATCTTCAAACATTCATGTTATATGTAATCTTTAATTTTATGGAGCACTATTTGGAAAGAGCATATATGAGCTAGGTACACCCAGCAAATGTTCATTTTGAATCAACGTAGTGTTCATTTTCACACATTTATTCCTTACAATTATAATATTTATTTACGAACAATGTAATGTTCATTCCAAGACTGCTCAACATAGTGTTCATTAATGTAGTGTTCATTCTAAAACAACATAGTGTTAACTCTAAAATATTATTGAAATACAAGTTTGCCATGATGTACGATACATCCGGTTGTAGCATATAATTTGCCTTGTTTTGCTTAATATTTGACATGTTTCCCGTGGATTCAAATTTTCACGAATGGGTCCCCATGACCTCAAGTTCCCGGCCAATGTTCATATATTTCAACATGTTATTGACTCATTTGTGTTTATATGGTTCATCAGCTTTACTTTGTGCAGTGTATTGCCTTTTTGTTACTCCCTCTGTTTGAAAAAATAGTTGCGCCTTCATTTTTTGCACATCCCACCAAACACTTATACTCCCGCCTAAAATGTCTAAAGTACACCTCATTTCTTCTTTATTGCGGGTAAAAGTAATTTTGGAGGTATTTTACACCTTTTAGGGGGGAATAAGTGTTTTGTGGGATGCACAGAAAATAGAGGTGGAACTATTTTTTTAGAAGTTCTTTAAATGTTTAAATTTGCAGGTTCAAGTATGGTCGTGGCAAAGAGGTATGTGTTGAGGCTGTTCATATCTTTGAAGTACATAACTGCGAATGTGGTAGACAGGAACAATGGTAGGGTGGTTGCAATGGCATCGAGCGTTGAACAGTCGCTGAAGAAGTCGTTTGAGTGTGGGAGGAGCTGCAACGCCAAGGCGGCTGCAGTTGTGGAAGAGTGATTAGCCAACCGAGTTACTATCAATCGGAGTGCCTAGCTACCTTCAAAATGAGCTCGTGATTTGGTACTCCGGAAGCACAAATCTTATTCAAGAACTTAGGAGTACGCAAGTCATTAATGATATTCGAATTAGAGCTGAGTTCTCAACCTTGTCGGAACTAAGATAAGTGTGTGATTCCTCATTGAGATTCATCGATGTCATATATTTATTTATAGAACCGACGACATCCAACGTTGGATCCAAAATTGCATGGTCCTGCAAATAGCTTGGATCATTTTCTATTTTATGAAAATCTGGATTAGTGGAATTCACTATAGTAGCCATAGGATTTCCTAAAGATAGAAGCAACATATCATCGGGTATTGTTACTTCTGCATAGCCATCATCAAGTTCATCTCCTGCAACTCCGTTGCCAATACTTGCAATCCATTCCGCGAATTCAACTAAGCAGTCGTAACTACCGCCTCATATTATCGATTGCAGATGCATGTGTTTTTGTTAAATGCAACACAATGCAATCTTTCCAAATGTAGGAAGAATTAGTTGTCGAATTAACAATGTATTGTCTAGTTCCTTTTGGAATTACAAGCAATATTTGCCGAAAATCTCCACCAAAGACTATTGTTTTTCCTCCAAACATTTGGTTTTCACTTAATGGATTGGAAAATCACAAAATGTCGTGCAAGCTTCTGTCTAAAGCTTCGAAGAAATACTTATGTGTCATTGGTGCTTCATCCCAAATAATTAATTTTTCCTTCACTAAGAGTTGTACTAGTGATGTTCCTTGCTTTATGTTGCAAGTAGTGTTCTCATCCAGGCACAACGGGATTTTAAAACATGAATGGGTTGTTCTACCACCTGGCAAAACTAATGATGCTATTTCACTTGATGCGTCATTCAAGACTATAACACCTTTAGATCGTAATGCAGTTGATAGAGGAAGAACACTTTCCCTAAATTTGTAAAAACAGATTGCTTTATAGCATCATACGCTGCACGTTGTTCATCATTTAACGATTCCAAAAGGGTAATGTGTTCACTCGCCAAGGTTACACGATCATATTGCATCTCATAAAAAATTATTCGATTGGCTGGAGTCCAAATTCTGTGCTGGTTTGCTTGTGGCATATGCTTGTAATCGTGAAGGCTCTTCCCACGACTTTGAAGCAAATCTTCTACATCACATAGAACATAATTTTGAATCTCTTCTTCTTTAAGTGTAAGACCTAACATGGTTAAAAAATATATTATTAAAAGGGGAAAAAAGTTTTTTTTTTAAGGTAAAATTTTCGAAAGACGAAAAATGTAATTGATACCTTTGTGTTGTAAGAGACGCCGTTGTCGGTATATTACATGGTCTGAGCATTGCTCCCAAACATGTGAGTAGCGTCACAAATAAATTCCTTGTATCCCCTAAACCCCCCACCCTACTCCCGACCCTGCATCCCCACCCCAACCCCACCGTAAGCCCCCCACAAAATGTGTGGCTATTATGCGTTCATAATAGCCACACATTTTGTGGGGGGCTTACGGCGGGGTTGGGGTGGGGGTGCAGGGGCGGGGGTAGGGTGTGGGGTTTAGGGGGTTGGTTATAGGGGGTAGGAACCGTCAATTTTGCGAACGGAGCATCGGAGGTGCTCCAAAATGCCAGTGGCACCGTACTCCAGTGGCACTAGAACCTCACCACTACAAATTTTAAATTAGGAAATTTTAGAATTCTGCAACGTAATAATGTTGACATAATTAAAATGGTTTGTTTCTTTCCTGTCTACATATTAGGATGTTTTTTTATTACGTTATAAATCAAAAAATTGTTTTTACAAAAGGTTATCTTTTTTTAATTAAGATTGTACAACATTCTGTCCCATTAACGCCCAATGCGCGGTTTTAGACAAGCATTAAATGACCGACGTCTATTAGTTAAAAATTTCCTCTTCAATTGGAGTATTGTGAGTTTTTCTAATTATGGTAGATTTCATTAGGTTTTAAATTGATTCGTTCATTCCATTCCTTCCTTTTCAGTCATATTACAATCAAGGAATCAATTTAATAATTTTCTATATATGCTTAATTATGGTAAATTTCATTACGTTTTAAATCAATTCATTCAATCCGCCCCTTCCTTTTTGGTCATATCAATCCCGGAATCAATTTAATATTACAATCAAGTAATCAATTTAATTGGTCAACATATTAGTTATGTTCCTTCGTTTTCAGTCATATTACAATGCATTCAATTCGTAACATTGAATTAGTCAAAAGTTTCCTTTAATATATCCTTCTAAATCAGTAATATTACACAACCAATCATAGCTGCAGATCTTCTTCGTACATTGATATCGACGGTGCAGGATTAGAGTGCATTGGGCGGGAAAATAATTCCCCTGCTTTTAAGAATAGAGGATTATTTGCGTGTTTATTAGCAATTGTAGAAAAGTAGACAGTATTAGAGGAGAAGCTAACTTGATACGTATATAAAGGGTAAACCTTAGGAGTGTTTATTTGGCTCTAAAGTCTACATTACTTTTTGTAACCTTCTCCCACCAGCGATATTTTTTGTTTTTGCCAAAAATTTGTTTATTAGTGCAATAACCATTTGCTTAAAACCCTTACTTCTAAGTCCACACAAAAATATATCGACCTTAAGGGTGCATTCTGTTCGCCTGATCTGATCTGAAATGATTTTTTGAAGATCTGATCTGGTCTAATTATAGTTATAATTAAAGTTGTTTCTGATCTGATCTGATTATAATAAGAATAAGTAATAAGCAGAAAAAATAAGTTGAACGAAACACTACCTAAGTGAAGAGTTATCATTAGGCTGTGAAATTTACTAAGCACCTCTTCAACAACATAGTTCAAAAACAAAAATTGATTAGATATTATGTCTTCATATTAGATAAAAGTTGAATTAAATTTACTTAAATTTGATTATTAGAGCATGCCCAATGTATGGTCTGAGGTGAAGCTCTCTCTGAGTGCCCCTTCAAAAAATTAAGGATTAAATAGTATTATCTTCAAATATATTTGTCAACATATCTTTTTGAATATATACACATATATTCTTATCTGTTTTTCTTTTAATTTTGAATACTAATAAATAACTTTGTATTATTATTATTGATGAATTAAGCATTTTACCCAACCCAATATTATTGGAACAATACAAAGAAGACTCAATTTAGTCCAGTCCAAGATACAAATCAGATAACTTATTCAAGACAGAACCAAATATATGTGGACAAAAGAATATATTTGAAGTGATGTAAAGATATTCAATGAGCCCATTGGAACAATTTCGCATAGAAATCATGTAAGCCTCAAATTCCGGGGATAGATTATGAAGAAACTTATTACATAATAGTTGATGCAACTACGTTGAGATATTTGATAGGCATGTCTATATTTGAAAAACTTCAAATACGTTTAATGGATGTAGTGATAGCATATTTGTATGGTTCTCTCGATACTGACAAAGTTTTTAACGAAGCAATACATAAATTTAGAATAGGTTTCTAAACTATACCCATTTCACAAAATACCCATCATCAATTGAAAAATATGAATTATTCATTTATTGATTAGTTAGGTCATACTCTATCATAATTGTAAGAACAAATTGTCTATCATTGCAATCAAATTATCATTTGTATAGTATATATATACTATTTATAATAGTGTTATTACTAAGCCTTTCTACTATAAATAACAGACCTATGATCCCTAAAAAATACCATTAAAAACAAAAAGAAGAGTGAAAGAAATGTGAAATATATACTCCTCTCTCACAACAAATGCGTAGTAGTAGATTATTTTCCAAAGAGCCTGATTTGGGAACTCATTAGGCTTAGATTTTTGGGTGTTGGCCTTGTGGTCTGATTCTTCAGTTCTGCAAATCTGAGCATAACATTTTGTGTTATTCCAGAAGAAAAAATGTCCTACTTGTTGCCCCATCTTCACTCTGGTTGGGCGGTTGATCAAGCCATCCTCGCAGAGGAGGAGCGCCTCGTCCTTATCCGCTTCGGTCACGACTGGGATGAGACCTGTATGCAGGTATGCTTTTCTTATTGTCAGAAAGTCTGTTCGAGTATCCACTCCAACTCTCTTTGTCCCAAAAAGGGGAAAAACAGCAGATTGTGCTTTATAATTAGGTTTAATTCAATAGATAAAAGGAGGAAAAGCATGAGTCGATAGTGCCGTAACTTCCAACCTTAATATTTTGTAAATTGTATATTCGAGAGTTACTTGTAAAGTCTGGGCGATGCAAGCGCATGATTCAATATGTTGAAGTGATAACATCATATTGGGGAGTTCAGTATCATGGATCCTTGGTTAGTGTTGTCTTTAGTGTTTGTAAATTTTGACTTCATGTTACTTGAACTTCATAGTAGTCAGTAGTGTGTTGACTTTATTCTGTCACAAGCTTAGTTTAATCACTATGTCTAGTTTTTGAAGTAAAAGTCCTATTAATATGCTTTTTCCATGATCTTTCTTTGCATACAAATGATACAATGCAATATAATACTCCATTGCAAACTTAGTGAGATGCATGTGTGTCCATGGTCCTAGTTTGGTATCCGATTTGATGTGTGGTATTCTCGATGAAGTTATGTAACTGCTTCAAAAACATGTATTACATATTTGTTTAGTGTATTTCACATAATGTCTAGTAATTTTGTTGTGTTTTTGGTTTGAGCATTTGGCCACTTGTTGTGGTTTGGCATTATTATATGAGTATTGTTTTGCTTGTCTTTGATCTTTCTTGGTATATAGGGGGTGTTTGATTGCAAGCAAAGTGTAAGGATGCATCCAAAGAATAAATATTTCTTTCCCTATATATTTCGCACTTCGTACTAAACATGTTGATAGTGAATCTTTAGGAATAATCCTATGGTACAAAAGATGCCATTAAAATAATGCTATTTTTTCAGATAAAGCTTCTTCTCCCTTTATCTCAAAATGATGTGCATGCTTTTGTTCTTGCTATATCCTCAAAAGATGTGCATGCTTCTATATTTGGAAAGTTTGATGTGGTTTACGATGTTTCCATCTCCTCCACATAAATCTCATCCACAATTTTCACTTTAAGAAAAATGTGCCTAGTCAAATGGGGCTCATCATTTTGGGACGGAGGAAGTATAATGTAGCAACTAGTCCTAAATACTGGTGCTGAACACATGATCCTATTGAATATCTCTCCAAATTCTTCCAACAAATTCCCCATCCTAGTACTGCTTATATTTATTTCTACCCGTGATTTGGTGAATCCACCAAGCATAACCTAATGAGGACATATGAACATGGGTTAACTTGTGTGACCTATTGGCAGAGGCGGACCCACCTTGAGTCCTATGGGATCCCAAGACCCCACGGACCCCGGTATAGGTCCATACAGGTATTAGGTTTGTAAAAAGATTAATATATAATAAACGCGTATCTTCAAGTTACAAGAATCGCGTTTGGTTTAGTGGAAGCGTGCAGAGCATTGACACCCCTGAAACCCAGGTTCGACTCCCATCCTGGTCTTGTGGTGCCAATTTTTTCTTTTTTTTAAATAAGGAGCATGGAGCAAAACAACGTCGTTTTGCGCGTAAAAGTTAAAACGCGTATCCACACTCTAGCCCAAAAATTGCTCGTGGGTACCCTCAATTTCGTGATAACAACTCGCAAGTCGCATTTTCAAAATATAGTCCGGGGTGCCTTAAAATTTCCTAAAAGTTACTTCGGGGTGACAATCCCTCATTCTCTCCGTCAGTTTCTATTCTCCGTTAACCTTTTCTTCTTCTTCACCATCTTTTGGCCTTCTTTCTTCTTTTCTTTTTTTCTTCTTCTTCTCCTTCTACGTGAGAATCACTTTGAGAATTGTACTATGGATGTTCGCTCTGACCATAGATTCAATAATTTAAAGAGTATTGTTGAGCTCTCACTGAAAATGGTGTCCACTAAAAAGGCTCTTACGTATGGTTTCATATATGCTCTCATAAAGTTGGAATTGATACTTCCTGTGGCAACAACAAGTGTTGAACGGTCTTTTTCGTGAATGAAGTTCGTGAAGAATGAGTTGCGGAATAAAATTTGTGATCAATGGTTGAATGACTGCTTAGTAACTTATGTTGAGAGAGATGTCTTTTCCACCATTAGTGATGATGTAATTATAGATCACTTCCAAAGTATGAAAACTAGACGAGTACAATTGTAAACGATATTATTTTCGTATGACTTTTTTTCTATGTATTAATTATGGTACTTTTCAAATATTAGTTTTAGTTTATTGTTAAATGTTAAGACTTATGAAGTAGTTTGAAATGAGAATGGGAGGTATGGATGGTTGTAAAATCCTCGATCCGCCTCTGCCTATTGGCCTAGTATAAAATGGGATATAGCTTGGACTCATAAACTTGCGGTTGATTTTTGGGTTGTGAGTGCTCGTGGTGTTTTGTTCATGAGAGACTCAAATAAATGAGTATGACTGTGATACTTGCATTATAGTTTAATAATTTATATAGGTAAAAGTAAAACTCTTCATATTTAGCAAGGAAAACCTTTTCTTCTTGACCATATATGCTATGGCAGCTGAGATTTTTGTGATACTTGTTGCCTCCTATAATTATCTTTTCTGCACTTTCCTAGGGCTTCGTGAATCTGGTGTTCCATTTTCTCATAGAGTGTTGCATTGACTATTTCTAGGTAGGGTTAAGGTCTATGTACAACCCCCACGAACCCCATTTGTGGTACTCTACATGGTTATTCTTGCATTGACTATTTGACTGTAGTCCATTTGGTTTGTGTACTATTATCACAATTACTCCCTTCATCCAAAAAGGGTTCTATTTGAAGACTTGTTTTGTCCCAAAATAGAATCCCTATTAGAACAAAAAGATCTAATGTTCATTATATCTAAGGAGCCGCTAGTCACACTCGTATTTGCTAAATTCACTACACATGCTAAATTCACTCCAGTTTTTTGTGATATAGCCATTTTCTCTACACTTCTGTAAATGCCATATTCTGATATTCCTAACTCTTTTTGGTGTTTATTGTGCCAAATTCAGTCCATTAGACTCTTATCAATTACTTATAGTAGAGTTTATGTCATTTATTGTCATTGACATATTTGAAACACCTCCGGACATGCAACAACAACAACCCAGTTAAATCCCACAAGAGTAGGGTCTTGGGAGGGTGTGTGTACGCAGACCTTGCCCCTACTCGAATGTAGAGAGGCTGTTTCCAAAGAGACCCCCGGCTCAACGTCGAAAGTTGCATTGCTTGACTAACTGCTACTTCATTAATTAAAGAAGCGCAGACAGTTTAGAGATCCATTTTGATTTATTCCATCACACCCCAAAGCCAAAAAATGGTGAAATTTTGGCTCCATCGGAGATGATGGAAATAAAGATTATAAATTTTTAATTATGAATTTTTAATAATACACTAGCACAACCAAGAGATTACTTAAATGCAGTAATATAATCTTTATTTTCATTAAAAGGACAATTTGTTTAAAACAATATTTCAAGACTTTAAGGAACAGATATATTCTAACATTTTTAATGTTTTAGCATGCACAAAAGTTCTGTTTTTTCTTCATTTCAAACCGCATCTATGCACTCTTCAATTGTTGTTGATTTGTGAGGAGTAGTGGGCTACACTCAATAATCCTTTGTGCAAGTGCATCTCCCCACCAGGCTACTCCATTTCTATGCTTGTTCCAATAATTAGAAATTGATGATACTGGACAACCTGGACTGAGATGAAGTTCAACACAATGGTTGGTTTTTACAAACCCAATGCCTACTTACATGCTCAAGGCTTAAAAAGTGAATAAGGGCCATCATGTAACCGTTTGCCACAATAATCCCCATTGCAGGGAGTTCCATGCAGTTTTGTACCAGTGCTTGTGATTTGTAATAGCTGAGTCTCTCTACAACCCTCTCAAATTCACACTAAAAAACCTTCTTGTATAAGTCAGCCCTTTTTTAGACATGTATTAGCATTTCATTGGTAAAGTCCACACAAAAATATCCTTTCCTTAAATCCCATAAAAGTCCAAATAAAAAAGAGAATTAGGGATGGAGAGAGTATTTAGTATTACTTCTTTTTATTGGAATCAGAGACCAAATCAGATCAGAAACAACTTTAAATATAACTACAATCAGATCATGTCAGACTTTAATAAATCCAGATTAGATTTAATCAGATGAGATGAAGGGAACAAGCTCTTTGTCTTCTTCTCCACGTTGGTAATTTTTGAAGTTAGGAGTTTTCTTTTCTCCTCCCCTCATCCTCTATTTCAGCATGCTCAAATTTAGATGGCATTCTTATAGTACTCTTTGGATCACTTTTCTTCTTTTGACTTTGGTCATCCCTTGTGAAATGCCTTAGCGGGAGGCTCCAACACGTGATATATGCCCCCTGTGGCATAACTCCTTTTACTGTCTGATCATGATCGTTTGCTTATGTGGATCAGCTTGCAAATTATATACTCCCTCCGTCCCAAAATGATTTACATTGGTACTATTAGACCTCTCGATAACTTTTGTTTGTTTGGATATTTTCATTGATTAGTTGATAAAATAAAATATTATGGAGGGAGTAAAATCTATATCAAACTTTAAAAATAAATATAACCACTTATAGAATCATTGCTATAAAGTTGGAGTGCGGGAAATTATAAATATATTGAGAATTAAGGTTTAGAAACAAAAAGAAGAAGCATGACATTAGCAGTACTCAGTCTACTAATGACATAACTTCTTAATTGAAAATGTATTCGTGTGTGTGTGTGTGTGTATACACACTACATGTTGTCATTGTTTTAGATAAAAAAATCGATACATAAAAGTTATTTTTAAAAGAGAAATTTACGTAAATAGCACTAAAACATAATGACTTTCTCTAAATAGCACCACATGTGTTTTTCTTCCCAATGTAGCACTTTTAGTCATTATGCATTAGTCATTATTCAAGTAAATATTTTTCATCACTGGACATTATGGACATTATTAAGTGCTATTTAGAGAATAAAACAATTTAAGTGCTATTTACGGAAATGACTTAAGTTTTAGTGCTATTTAGTGCAAATATTTCTTTTTAAAATAGCAGCAGCCTGTTTCACTAGCTCCTATACTATATAGATCAGAATCATAAAAATACACATACCAATTGGTGTAAACCCATCAACTCCTTCAGGGTTGGTTCATCAATCTAAGGAATACCTGCTTCTTTTGAGTCAATGTTTTGCACACCAAGCTTCTTCTAGTGTGTGGTAATACTTTCAAGTGGTATCGGTCTTTGTTGAAGTTTCCAATTGGCAAAAATCATACATGTATGGTATGCTGTGTGTGGCCTTTATTTATAATGCATATACAGCTACCTGCAAGTCCTTGTGCATTTTCATTTTCCTTATCCGCCTCCCTAAGCACTAAATCCATGGCAAATTGAGACACAAAGCCCCTTTACTCTTTGAACTCAAAGAGGGAAAAATTGTCATGTACTAATTTCATATCGTGCTGAAAACTTGTATTGATTTTATTGTGTTGAACCTGAAGTACATCATGGCATCATGCACTGCTATCAGGCACATTTCAATTTCACATTGTGAAATTGGGAGAGTTTTCTTCACATTTGCATGAGTGGATTCTGCCCTGCAGTATATAGAACACAAAATATGCACTAACTTATGGCACTCTAAGATGAAATAATTTAAAAGCAAGTACATACCTGTTTGATGTAATATTTCCATAATGCTTAATTTGAGTCGCTCAACAATGAACAAATTTTTCTTCCATGGATTCAACAAAGTGTTTTGGCGTATTCAACGACTTCAGGCATGGTTACATACTCATCCTCCATGGACTTTACACTCTTATTAAATGCATTCTAGTTGGATGATTTCAGAATATATATGGAATTAAATCTTTCCCAAGATGGCTGATCCATAAAATGTTTCTTAGAGTTGGCACATAGAGCTTGTTTATATGCCACCTACATAATAGATGAGTTCCTTTAAGAAAGAGTGAAAGACTACTTAAATGGCATTCATGAGTGCCATCTCCCTATGTGTAATTATAACCTTGGGCATACAATGCATACAACACCACTTCTTTTAGGCTATCTAATGCCTACTGATAGTTCTATGGCGTTTTGCACCCTGGTATACAAAACTGACAGAAAAGCTCTTGCTAGTTGAAGTGGTCCCAACTCCCAACTATTACTATTAAAGGCAGCCCATAAACATTGGTCTTGTATGCAATGTTCGAAATGGCGAGGCGGAAACCCGCCATGAGGTGCGCCTCAGAACTTTATCTGGAAAAATACACTTTAGTGCCTATCTAGCCTTACGCGATAAGCTCTTATACGCTATAGTTCAGGATTGCGTATGCCCCATGTCATACGCACTGGGGCGGATATGAAGCTTAATTACACAATTTTTGTTCCCAAATTTTTTAAAATTTAAGGTCAAATTAGTCAATTACCAAAAATTAAATGTATATATTACTCCGTTTATACTTTGTGTCGATGACCCTAATCTCCCTACACTTCATCTTCGATAATCGTAACTCTTCATCTTCTTCATCTCGCCTCTCCGTCTGCAACATTGTGCCTCTTCATCAGGTTTGATTTTACCCTTTTCTAGTTTCGGCTATGCCGGGCTATGGCATAGCCGCTATGTGGTGTTTTTATTTAGATGCTTTTCTTTTTGGCTTATTTCTAATTTGATGTCTAAAAAGGATCAGATTTTTTTAAGGTAGTGCATATATTTTAATGCATGTAATGCCAGGTGTTGCTTTTTAGAGGTTTACAGGTGTTGTTTTTTAAATGGTTTCCAGCTGTTTTTTTAATCTATTTTTTAATGCTTTTATTTTAGTTTTGTTGATATTTGAATTTTTAATTTCTGTGATTTTTTGTTTTGTTTATCAATTCTGAGGAAGACAATGAAGGAGATACAACATCTTTTGGTCCGAAATTCAAGAAGGTAGGAATCGATAATCTTTATTTGCATTCATCAATTTAAGTTTATCACTTTGACCAATAATTTGTATTTTTTCATGTTAGACTTTGTTGTATTTGAGATCTGTTACTTTGAAAATATACTTTTTTAATGTCAATGGATTATTTATGTTATATATAATGTTCTATCTTCACTTTTAAAAATGTTTTATTGACATTTTAAAGTTAAAAAATGAGGTTTACGCCTCAATATGCCTCGAGGCTTACGCAATACGCCATGGGAAAAAAATGTCTCATAACTGGAATACGCCATTTCGAACATTGCTTGTATGTCACATCCATTTGCAAGGCCTCCGAAAATGTCGTAGCCAACACAAGCCAACATTGTTATTGTGTGTCACATCCAATTAGGTCGGCTTTTTGGACTGGGTGGTAGTTTTCTCGCTTGGTGCTCTGTGCTTTTTATGTTTGGTGCTTTTTTCTTTCTAGACTTTTCTTTCATTAATATGAGTTCTTGGTTTTTTGTTCTCTGTGTTTTTTTGTGCTTTGTGTGTCTTTTGTGAGTGTGTGTATTTTGTACTATCTGTGTTACTTGAGCTGGAGGTCTCTTAGAAACAGCCTCCTTGCTTCGGAGTAGGGGTAAGGTCTGCATACACACACCGTCCCCAGACTATTATTGTGGGATTCAACTGGGTTGTTGTTGTTACATTATTGGCCTTATCTTTATCATATGAGAACGTATACCTCCTTCATGTAGCTTATTAACAAAATATTGCATTTGACTCCCTCCAGCCTTATCCTTCACCTCACACTTTGCCCTCAAACTGTAGAGAATCTTCAATGTACTTGCCTGGGTTGGATCCTTGTCTTTCAGATGCAACCAGTTCTTCCTAGGTGGACAATTGCGCAAAGACATGGATTAGAACCTCCAACTCCTCATCAGTCAGTCTTCCCAATAATGAATGCCCTGCATTTGATTTGTTCTCTGTGTGGTTGTGAAAACCATACACCACATCAATTCTCCAGTCACTTGGCCTTCTAACACACTTAACCTTCAAATGGAAGGGGCAACCATTCTTTTTTGTTCCGGCCCTGTTCTTGTTTTTCCTCATTAGGAATTCATTTTTGAGGCTTGGTTGGCCTCCATTTGCCTCTTCTCTCACATGCTAAATACACAACGGGAAGCATACCTCTTTCATTCAAAATTGATCTAAGGGTTGTAACAACACACCCTTGTTTTCTACACACGGAATTAACCCATTTCATGGCTTCTGTTCGGCGTGGAAAAATATAACATTCATTACAAACAATGACAACATGCATCATTAGTTCACAAATAAGCACTTTGGAATATTTACTTAGTCAAACAAACATAAACCAAACAAACCATCAAACTTACCTTCATATTCTGAAATGCATGAGAAATGTCAAATTGCACAAGTGGCATCAGGTGTCTCTACCTTGGGAACAATTAGGTCGGTCATGTTTATCAACTGCAGATTTATCCACAAACTGCAGTATTTAAAAATTATTTATCCACTACCCACCAAATAGGGTAAAGATGAAATTTCTTGAAGCAATATAAGTATATAACCCACACAGGTCATTGTTCTAATGAAGAACCAATTAATTACAACTCCTGTCCCAAAAAAATTTCAATTAACTTTCATAGTGTTCAAGAGAAGTGTTAAAAAGTGAAACTTTCATAGAGTTTAAGAGAACTGTTAAAAAGTGAAAATTGCGTGGTTGAAATTTATGGAGAGAAATTTTATGAACCACATGTTTTTTTGGACAGAAAAAAGAAAGTGAGACAATTTTTGCGGGATAGAGGAAGTAGAATAATTGGGACCATCAATTTGTTAGGGTTTTAGGTGGTTCAAGAACCCTAGCACAGGCATATGCTAAAGAGGAATTTGAATTTTGGTGGTAATGGGTTATTTGCTCTAGTTGTACCTTACTTATAATAAAAAGTAGTACCTTGGTGAAACATGACTTGTTATGAGATGGAAGGAGTACTTTTTATATCACATTGTATTCTTATCCCAACGTGTTGGTTACTAATTGGGTTTTTTTTTTCTTTTTACTGTTTTCAGATGGATGAAGTATTGGCTTCAGTTGCGGAGACGATAAAGAACTTTGCTGTCATATACCTAGTGGACATCACCGAAGTACCTGACTTCAACACAATGTATGAATTGTACGACCCCTCAACGGTGATGTTCTTCTTTAGGAACAAACACATCATGATCGATCTCGGCACCGGGAACAACAACAAGATCAATTGGGCACTGAAGGACAAACAAGAGTTCATTGACATTGTGGAGACCGTTTACCGTGGTGCAAGAAAGGGCCGTGGTCTCGTCATTGCCCCAAAAGATTACTCTACCAAGTACCGCTACTGAGTGCTTGCCATTTGTCGCTTACAAACATGGGCTTGTTGTTTCTCTCATTGCTCTGTTCAGAGAGAGGTATGGTGTCAAAAGGTTGGTATGAATATAGATTGGTTTATCCTTATGAATAATGAGATGATGAATTATGGTGTTGTTGCTTGTTGTATTGTAACTGTATTATTAGTCACATCTGTTTATCAATTGTGGATGATGCCAAAAACCTTGTGCCCTTTGTCTGGTTTGATTCTTTAATTGGTATCTTATCAATAATCATGATTCATGAATCCCTAAAAAATAAAATAAAATCAACCGGGTTTTTTTTTGTTTAGACTACAGGTGCCCCTTGTCCATTATTTTTCTTTCATGTTTTCTTGGTTAGACTACAGGTTAAGCAAAATCCGACTAATCCTGATCAACCAGGTTTGCGGATTAAGGCTAAACGTCTCCCACCAATGGTGGGATTTGAACCCATGACCTTAAGGTCGGCACAGCTCCGTGCTGCCAACTATGCAACCACCTGTTGGTTTTTCTTTGATCGGGCACAAATATTATGCAACATGAAAATGGTGTTGACTGTTTTACGGTTTTTCTTCTACCCGACAATACCCCTTTTCCGTTTGTGCCTCAGCACTAGGGGAGGCTATAAGGGGTGCCGGTGTGGCGAGGGAGGCTCAAGGTTGAAAGAGGAAGATGAGGAAGGTGTTTGTTGGGAGAGGAAGAAATGGAGGCTTATGGGTAAAGAAGAAGTTAAGGTTGGGCAGGAAATAGAGTGAAAGTAATTGTAACTTAATTGTTAAGGTAAATAAGACATTTAAGTTACAATTACTGTAGGCTGAGCAGCAGGTCAAGTTCTTACAGAGGACTAAGCTCTCAAATATTTCTCACAAGTTCTGAAATAAAGCAGCAAATGATGGATTTCAATCTAACAGAAAAAATATAATAAGAACATTAAATGTATACTTTATGCAATATAGTGTGTATAATTTGACACTCCAACGGATAGTGCAAAATCAATTGTAAAAACCTTTTAATTATAAATATTACAAAATATATTTTTTTTCTTGAATTCATCACGAACTTTTGTAAATCAATAAAGTTCATTCACCCAAAAAATCAATTACCTTAAAAATATAAATTATCACTAGATTAATGTATAGCGCATAGATGTTTTAAAAATATGAATACAAAATATATATTTATACATTTAAAAAATTAAAATTTAAAAATATCAAATAACTAGATTCATAAATATCTAAAATATTGGGCTCAATAAAGGTTTGGGCTCTGTGTGGGTGCACATATTGCATGTAGGGTTGTAAAACAAACGAACAATTTTGATTCAATTCGTGATTCGTATTTGAACCAATTATTGGTACTCGAAAAATGAATACAAATAAGAATATAATTATGTATTAGAATTCGAAAGAAAATGAATACAAATACAAATGTTTATGTATTCGATTCGAAATATTGACAAATATATTCGAATTTAAATACCCAACAAATATTTATACCTAGTATACCTGTTTCATACGGAGTAATAAATATAGAGCATAACATACAGAGACAAGGTTTGCATGTATATAAATCCTCCCCGAACCCCACTTTGATAGGATCTATTTAACTATGTTGTTGTTGTTTTCCGGGGCGGAGAGAAGGTGGGGGGCATGCCCGGGCACGTGCCCCCCCGGCGAGGCACCAAAGTAGAGATATTATTTACCGGTTGGTGGTGGGCTGCTCCGATCAGCCATGGAGGTGCCCTCCCAAGCCAGCTGCTTGAACACTGGTTCAAAGATTCCAATCTTGTTTTCTGTTGCAGCATCGTTGCATTTTTTCAGTGATATAAAACGACATCGTTTACCTTTCGATTAATAACTAAGGATATGGGCCTAAATGTTTAAGCGGACTAGGGTAAAAAAACAACTTCGTATAGAATATAAAGTGGTACTCGGTAGGCATGTTTCACTTTTTAGTGAAGATTGATGATAAATTCATACTTTCTCATTTCTTCTCCCCCAACTTATTAGAACTACGAGGTGATTTTTTGTATTTTTGAAATTATTTTATTAAAATATTAGTATAAAAATAAAAAATAAAATTTACTCGTATTTAGGACAATTTATAATATTTTATTTGGAACTATAGGATTGGACAATTAAATTTGTTATCACCAGTGTTTGGCACTGTAATTATTTTAATCTGTTTGGCATACCAACTTTTGTGTTTCTTCACCATCATTTTGTACATAAAACACCATTTCAGAGAAGCAAATATATGATGCTTCTGCTTTAATTTCAACTTTTGTAAAAATTACTTTACTCACGAGTTAATCATTCTTAAACATCGTCAGAGTATTAGATACCCAAACTGTTTTTTTAAGAAAAAAATAATTTTTATACTGTGGTCATGGTTATATTTTTAATGATTTGAACACTTGAAAAAATTATTTTTTTGGCTAAACTCCACAATTGGTCCTTCAACTTTATCAATTGTGCACGATTGGTCCTTCAAGTTTTAAACTTCGTAAATAGTCCTTCAACTTTATGAGTTATGCACGATTGGTCCTTAAAGTTTTAAAAGTGCATAAATAGTCCTTCAAGTACACGTCGGCCTTCCAAATGAAGTCCTTTTGAGAATAAATGTTAAAAGCTAAATGAAATACTAGCTCCATATAATAGGGAGTAGTCGTACCTAGTGGAATTTACTCGTATTATATGAAATTAATATTTCGTTTAACTTTTAATATTTACTATCAAAAGAACTTCATATGGAAGGCTGATGTGTACCTGAAGGACTACTTATGGAATTTTGAAACTTGTAGGACCAATGGTGTAGAACTCATAAAGTTGATATGGACTTTTGAAACTTGAAGGACCAATCGTGCACAACTGATAAAGTTGAAGGACCAATGGTGAATTTTAGCCTATTTTTTTTCATTTTTTATCGACCTTAAGAAAAAAATCTGCCCCGCAAACCCCGTAGTGTGCCGCCCCGCTAGTAAGCTCATGGCTCCGCCACTGGTTGTTTTGGACATGCCATTATTAGTACAAAGTACTCCCTCTATTAACTAAAGCATTTCCTCTCATTCTTTTCTTTCACCAAAATACTTCTCCTTTCTATTTAAAACCCAATTTTAATCATATTAATTCCTACCCAACTTATTACATCATATTTTTTACCTATCACATCAAAAACAAATTCAAAAAGTCAAGTACAAATATACACTCTTTATTTCTCTCATTAGTCAAAATCTGAACGATTTTGTTGAACAGACGAATATATAGTTAATTTGTGGGGTAACAATTTTTTGAAGCTTTAAAATTAAAAAAAAACTCAATTTATATTTTATAACAGAATACAAATGCGAACCAAATATTTAAATATAATATCAAATTGAATACGAATAATATAGTTATTTGAATTGAAAATGAATATGAGTAATGGTATCATTTTTCAAATACCAAAAAACTTTCATAATATTCAATGCGTTTTACAACCCTAATTGCATGCCCCCCAAATTGCCCCTCTTGACTTTAAAATACATGCGGATTATATTAAGGGTATTGATCTATTTGCGTGCTCCTTTTTTGGTTAAAATCTACTTTTTTTATATTAAATGGACAACTTTGTCCTTAAAATTTGACCTGCATCTAAGTGTTTTTCTTTTATATTTTAAGGTTAAATGGTCAATTAAACATAAATAGAGTGAATATACTGAAATAGATTTGAATATTACAACACGTCAACACTCTATATATGAGTAAAAAAATCATGCACTCCCTTCATCTCGTAAAAAGGTTTCACGTTTGATTTTGCTCAAATATAAAGAAAAGTAAAATTATGTGATTAAAAGTAGCGCATAATAGAGAAAAATTATATAGAACACAAAAAAATCAACAAAATCAAATAATAGATTTTTTTGGATAAAAAATATAGAACCTTTTTACGAGACGGAGTAACAATAATATCGGCTCCCTTCTTTTGATAACAATATTTGTTGTCATAATACGACAACACCTACAATACCCCGATCTAAAAATTGATGATTTTTATCTCTAACACTCAGCAACGCCTCTCTAAAATGCCCAAATGCTACATCAACGTTGTAGCATTTTAATGTTTTGGATAAGGGGCATGGAGGTGTGGGGGTAGGAGGAGAGGGGAGCATAGGAGGGGTTAGATCATAGCACCGTAGATGCTGTTGTCATAATATGACATTAAAAGTTGTTAAGAGAAGGGAGCCGCTATAAGGATACGTGTAATGGCACGCTTGACGAGAAGAGAGCCGTTAAAATAGATTTTTCCTAATATTAATGTACTCTATTAGGCTCTTCGTAAAGCTCAATGCCCACAACTTCGGTAACTTTTGTTCGCAACTTTTTGTATGCAAGTCATTACTTGTTAAATTATACGTCGTTGAAGATTTTTTCACAAGGTCTGTCCAACGGCACCAATATTGGCTATATAATTTTGGATATTATGTCTCACTTATATTTTTTGTTCAAACTCTTTAGAATTGAAAGAACTATGTTATATTGCTATTTTTTAATGAAACACATTTTTTAAGTATAAAAAGAAGGAAAAAAATAAGAAACACAAAAAAATTTAACCGGAAATAAACACGAAAAAACAAAAAAACCCGAAAGAGAAAACAATTAACGAAAAAAATTAATAAACCCAAAAATGAAGAAAATTTTTTTATTCTTTTTTTAAAAGATAGAATTTCTTACTTGAGTATAAATGCATCAATATTAAATAAAAAATATAATCATTACAGTGGAAATGAGATAGTGCAAGTCTGAATTAGACACTAATTTGGAGTGACTTAGAGTGAAGTTCCAAGTAAATTTAAAAAAAAGAAAACCAGTGGTGACGCGACCCAAGCAAGCAATGTTTAGTGGGGACAGGACTTGCCAAAACCAGCTGGTAGTTTTTCTTGTTCGCTCTTTTATTCCACCGTCAGCTGTTCTTTGGTAATTGGTAAGATCTGAGATCTCTCTCTCTCTCTCTCTATCTCTTTGCGTTTCCTTTTCTGACAACGTAGTATATGCAGGAAGGCTGCCTGCCATTTTCTCTGATCCCATTCTTTTCTTGTACACTTGAAGGATTGGAATCCCTTCAGAGATTGAGGAAGAAGACGACACAGAGGCTTCGAGATCTGGGAGAGCTCTCACTCGCAGCTGCAGGTGATCTTATTTAAGCTCCATTTTCCCCCATTCATATTCTGATCTCAAATTCCAAACTTGGTGGTTCTTTTTGTGAGGTCTGACTTTCACTTTTATGGGCATTCTTGAGATTCTAGTAAGACCAGATCACTGTCGGTCGAAATTGGATCTTGTGAGTTGTTTCTTGAAGTTAGCTGATTTTTGGGTTAATGCCATTCTGGATATTCGAAAATCGTGTCTTTGAAACTCTGGGTATTGGATAGTCTTATGATTGAATAAAGATTTTCTTATTGGGTGTTGAGAAACTTCAATCTTTGATCCAATACCATTAATCAATGACTAAATCTTGTTGCCTTGCAGCCACAGTTATTCAGCTCCTAGATTTGCTAATCTTGGTGCCATGTTTCTCTTGAACAACTCACATAATGTATTTTCTATCTTTGGATTTTTTGTATCATATGTTCCTAATCAAGCTGATGCACACTCATACAGTATGCAAGTTCTTTACTTTATATAATTGCACTTTAACTTTCTCCTCAACTGCTCAAATGCATGGGAAATTTGTCTTCTCAGATTAAAAGTCAATGTGTTGATATAATGCTTTATATTCCGGAACAGAATAGGAGATTTGGGGAAGTGAAGAAGAATGGGAAAGAAAGGGAGCTGGTTTTCTTCAGTGAAGAAGGCTTTCAGCCCTGAATCTAAGGTAAAGGAAGATGTCTGCATTGCAAATAGTATTCCCTTTTCATCACATTCCATTGGGTGATTGGTCTTTTTGCTTCACAGAAAGGAAGCAAATCGAGTAAAAAACGGTTGGAGAAAGAACAACTTCAGGTTCCCGACTCTTCAAATATAGAAACTGCCATTGCACCACCTCTTCCACCGCCACCACCACCACCTCAGCCACAAGAGTTGAGGTTGTCTGAAGTGGAGAGAGAACAGACAAAGCATGCTTACTCGGTTGCAGTTGCCACTGTGGCAGCAGCTGAAGCTGCTGTAGCAGCAGCTCAGGCTGCCGCAGAAGTTGTTAAATTAAGTTCCCCAAATCCATTTGAAGGAAAGTCAAAGGAGGAAATTGCCACAATTAGGATTCAGACTGCATTCCGAGGATACTTGGTATCGACCCTTCATCTTACATGTCATTATGTCTTTGATGCTTTCAACTTGTTTTGGCATCATTTTTCTATAAAAAGCAGTTTCTTTAACTGCCGCAGCCATCCATATTAAGCATGAAATCAAAATTTTCTGACCCGGGGTAGCTGTAACTTAGGTGTTTACTAATGGCATTGATCATTTGTAGGCTAGGAGGGCATTGAAGGCCCTAAGAGGACTTGTGAGGCTAAAATCCCTTGTCGACGGACCTACTGCAAAAAGGCAAACTGCAAATGCTCTCAAGTGTATGCAGTCTCTATCTCGTGTACAATCTCAGATTAATTCAAGAAGGAATAGAATGTTGGAGGAAAACAGAGCTCTCCAAAGACAGCTTATGCAGAAACACGCCAAAGATCTCGAGAACTTGAGGGTGATCACATTCTCTCATTTCCTCTTCCAAGTTCCAACCTTTTTTTAAACCCAACTTCCGAGTGCATCTATTTAGTATTCTATTGCCATCAGTCCTAAATTTAACTTCTCGTTGCGTTTATGCTTGGCTGAAATTATTCTTTATTCATATTATAGAAAAATTGCTGTTAAATTTGAAAATGAAATTTATATATTTAAAAAATACATCAAAAGATTTACGGAACTAGAGGTGACATTACTATATTTTCTGATCAAATAAGTATCGGAAATTGGCCAAGAGAGTGGATAAAGTTTTACGGTTTTACCCAATAGTAAATAGTGAACGGGAAGATAAATTTAGGGCGGAGGGAGTACAATGTTAATATTCTTGTTTGAAAAACAATTCATGTTTTCTCTTTTTGAAACTAGGGGATAAAAAAAGAAAGAGCCTAAACAGCTGAAGCTTTTTATTTATTTATGTGTTTGACAGAGAGGAGAGGATTGGGATGATAGTATACAGTCAAAAGAGAAAATTGAAGCAAACTTGTTGAGCAAATATGAAGCTGCTATGAGACGAGAGAGAGCACTTGCTTATTCATATTCTCATCAGGTATTTTAAAAATTCTTTCTCTACAACATATTCAATCCATTGAAGCTAAGGCAACCAAGTGTCGGGAATTCGGGATACTGACTTCTTAGTCCTTCAACTTGACAGCAAACCTGGAAGAAGTCGTCATCGAGGTCTCAGAATTTATTGTTTATGGATCCCACAAATCTGCAGTGGGGTTGGAGCTGGTTAGAGCGGTGGATGGGTGCAAGACCTTGGGAGGCAGATGGGATGCCGGAGAAAGAAGTTAAGAATGATCAGTTGTCTGCCACCAAAGGTGGAAGCAGCAGCATTAATGTGGGAGAGATTACCAAGGCATATGCTCGCCATCAGCTGGCTGCCGCCGCCGAACAACAGCCTCCTTCACCTGCCACCACCACCACCACCCATAAGCCGCCAGCCGGTCACTCCTCAACCCGCCATTCCCCCGCCGCCACTCCATCTTCCAAACTACCACCGACAAGGAAACTGAAGCCACCAAGCCCGAGAGCAATTCCTCCCACCCAAGACGATGATGCAAGGAGTGTGGCGATGAGTATCCAATCCGAGCGAAACAGGAGGAGGCATAGCATTGCTGGGGGCACGCCATCGTCGGCAAGAGATGATGAAGAGAGTTTGTCAAGCTCCACATCTGTGCCGAACTATATGGCTTCCACCCATTCAGCAAAAGCTAAGACACGTCTCCATAGCCCATCAGATGCAGATAATGTCAATTTCTCTGCTACAAAGAAGCACCTTTCATATTCACCCTCCCCTGCAGCTACCAGGCCGAGGCGGCATTCGGGCCCTCCCAAAGTCGGAAACTTCACCCTTGCTCAGCCTAAAACCGTGGGTGAACTCCGTTATTAGAAACTCTCCGATGAAAATTCTTGTCTTGTTGTTGTACCAGTATAAGGTGTGCTGCAGGTGGACTGGTCTGGTGTTTGTTGCATAGTAAAATGAGGAAACGACGGCGGGTTTCATTGATTTGTCATATTTCAACTTGGCTCTGCAAAAATTTCTTAATTCATTCTGTGTGAAGGGTAAGTAGCTCTCTCTCTCTCTCTATATATGTCTCTCTTCTCCCACTTATTGATGATTTTAATGCCTAAAAACCCCATATGACGAATCTTATTATTTCGTGCTGTGTATTTCTAGAGTGGAAAGCCAATAAGCCATTGTTCGATTGTGTCTTGTTCTGTACTACTAAAAGTATAGTACTTTAATACTTCTTGACATACCAAAATTCATTACTTGTAATAGTATATGATTCTTACATTGTGATGTACGCCAAGAGTGGAAGGCTGTGGCTTGGTTGTTGGCACTCCTTGTGTTTTGCCTTCACACGCTTTATAACGTAAAATGAAAAAAATATTTGACTTTCCATTTGTCTTTGGCGGTGTACTATACTCAAGAAAGATGTAAAAAAAAGTGAATATTGCAAAAATAAGGGTAAGTTATTTTTTTTACCGAAAAGGGCAAGTAATTTTGTGTGTGTGTGTGTGTATGTATGTATGTATGTGTGTGTATGTATATGCACTATGTGGATATAAACATTCTTCCAATTAGGCAGAAAGAGGATGTCTAAATGTGGTTAATCACTTTAATTAGGAACCAATTGAAAATCAATTATGTCTATCAAAGTTTTTTTAAGTGGTTGCATTAAAATAATTGCAGAATAATAAATAGAGTTAGTACGTAAAACATAAAGGGTTTTGGATATGCACTAAGACGTCTTGATCGTCTCAACACGATGGTCGCACGAAAACACTTTTGGCAAACAAACTCTTGCCAAAGCATAAACACTAGGTAGAAAAACGAAAACACTTTTGGCAAACAAACTCTTGCCAAAGCATAAACACTAGGTAGAAAAACGAAAACACTTTTGGCAAACAAACTCTTGCCAAAGCATAAACACTAGCTGCTGCTCGACTCAGCTTGAGGGGGGATGTTAGATAGAGTATATATATATATACTACCTCCGTCCCACTCTCTTTGTCCACTTTTGACTTTTGGAGCTGTTCATCTAAGCACTTTGACTCATCAAATTTTCTCAATGTGTAAGCCAAAATATAGTCATGTGTGATCTTATTTGATTTGTCTTAACATATAGATTATTAATATATAATTTCTATAATTTTTTAATATACAAATTATAAGATAAAATGGATTAAAGAAGTGCATTGGATGGTGTTCCAAAAGATAAGTGGACAAAGAGAGTGGGACGGAGGGAGTATTTCATATATGTATTAGTGGGCCTTTATATACTAGTCTAGCCCAATGGTGTATTGTCTCTATATATATTGTATTAGAGATTCACGTATTACTTGAGCAATACTATTATTGAGAATCAAATCGATGCCAACTATATTTGAGGCGGCGGCGGTGGCGGCGGTCCACTATATTCAGAATCAATTCGATGCCAACAGTCCCATGCTGCATGATTATATTTCCCGCAAATTTGGCACACTGGAATCACGGGAGGGACCACGACCACGTCCTGGAGCACCACTGCCGCGCCCCCTAGTAAAGCCGCCACGCCCAGGAGGTCCCCCACGACCAGAATAAGTGCCTCGGCCTCGCTGCAGATTTCGACCACGACCACGTCCGCCATAACCGGACTGAGCATAGAGGGCAGTGTGGGGTTCAACTGACGAAGAAGAGTCATGGACTTGAAGTTTGTGTTCCATCTGGAGGTTGAGTTCCTCAGCCAATAGCCATGACGAGACCTGTGCAAAAGTAACTGTGGCAATATTGGTACGAATGTTCTGCTTAATAGAGGCATAGTCTGAGGGTAACCCGCGAAGAACAGCGAGAACAACATCTTGCTCAGGAACACCCGCTTTTGAGCGATCCAGGGCAGCCACAATTTTGACAACCGAATCAAGATACTTTTGCATGGGGTCATAACCTTTTTTTACATTATAGAGTTGCTCTTTTAACTGGAAAATATGTGTTCGAGAGAGAGTTATACCGAAGTTGGAGATGATTCCATATACCAGCAGCGGTGTCCAAACCATGAAGATTATGTTGTACAGATGGAGTAACAATCGCAAGCAGGCAGACACATAATTGAGCATTAATAACGGACCAAACCTCGAATTCTGGGTTCGGAATAACAGCGGCGGCTACGTCTTTGTCGGCGGGAACTGTGATGGTGGCTGGCGGGGCTGGTGTTGAACCGTCGACATATCCCATTAATCTGTGGGCAGAGAGATTAGCAGAAGTTGTAGCAATCCAAGAGGGAAAGTTGTTGTCATCAAGCTTTTCTGGTGTGAGAGAATGAAGATTTTTGATAAACAGCTTCAACCCTGTGGGAAGAGCATCAAGAGGATCTGTATGTTTCGCCATGGAGAGGGCACATCGTTCGGACGAAGAAGAAAGAGTTGCCAACCGTGTGGCAGTGACGAGAGAGAGAGCCGTAAGCGGCTAGGGTTTGGGTTTAGCTCCGATACCATGATGGGAATAATAGTATTGCTCAAGTAATACGTGAAGGTCTAATACAATATATATAGAGACAATACACCATTGGGCTAGACTAGTATATAAAGGCCCACTAATACATATATGAAATATATATATACTCTATCTAACAATTACCAACTTTGAACCATCCAACTAGATTTGACGAACTAGCTTTTTCAAACTTGTACTCCCTCCGTCTCAATTTAAGTTATATGTTTAGTATTCATATGGTCAAATATTAATTTAACCATGTTTCTTATTTTCGCTACTTAATTGAAGAAATAATATAATCTTGACATTATTATTTTGTACATTTTTTATGTACTTTTTAAATATATAAATTTTATTTTTTAAATCCATACCAATTTTTAAGTAAATTGAAAAAAACTTTGGTCAAAACTCGTAAACAACATGCGATTTAAATTGGGACAAAGAGAATAACAGCTAGATAGACACCTGTCCACAAAGACCCCAACTAGCCAAAGATTTTACATTGAATGCCCTCAACCTTACAACGAATATTAGCATGATATCTTTAGTCATATAAACAAAACAATAAACTATGAAAAACATATTTTGGTAGACATTGAACAAAAAAATATTGCACAGATAGTTTTTTTAGTCAGTAGTTTTGTTTTTTTTCCAGTAAATAATTGACAATGCATTTTTTTCTTGGTTTAATGCTGAGAAATCTATGGATGAATCAGGGAAAAAATCAATGCTTCAAACATATTGTACTTGTTTTGCTCTTGATTAAATCACCTGCAGCATGTTTAGGACATAAATTACCATCTCTACTCTCTTGAGAAGGGACCTTCTCTGTTTCACATTCTGTGCTTACAGAAACATTTAATGTTTTTGCATTTGGAAGCTCTGTAGTTTTGGTTTTCAAATTTGCCCTTATGTTGGCTCCAAGTTTCGTCACTGCAACGTTTGGGTCGGGAGGAGACAACATAGACCCGCTGGGGGAGCAAACTGACTTATCCTGGAAAAGAGAAACAAATAGATGGTGAATTTGTGTATTTATATCAAGTATCAACTTGGGAGTTGTTTTCGGAAACTTCATAAATAAATGAATAAAATTGTTGCGAGGTAAAAACTGACCGCGTCAAAGAAACCAATCTTCGGGGATGGCATCCGGAGGCATGATGGTTTTTTAGAAGCTGCTTGAGAAAGTGTGTTATGTCTTAAAGGTTTACTTACACTTCCGCTACGCAATGCTGTTCTTGTCACTGATTTAGCTGATGTATGGCGTTGACTGGGATGGTTACTCAAATCAGAGGCCGGACTATAACTGTCCACGGATCTACTAGTATCAAGGCTAGTCCTTGATCCATTTGACCTCGAGAAGTTGTTAATGGATCGAGAAGTTGAAGATGTTGAAGACCACCCACTACCAGAAGTCAAAGAACTGCCAGGTGAAATGCCGGGGCTCATCTTTGAAGACATCACATATGCTCCTACAGCAGAGTTTCTAAATGATACGTCATTTTTTAACGGAATTTGTGATGGAGTGTTAACGGCAGGTCGACCCACAGATTTACTCTCCACCTTTCTTGCTACACTAGAAGTAGATTTTGCTGTTCTGTCTGACAAAGTACTAGCAGTACTGCTACTTGAAGACCTTGAGACGTTGCGGGTTGGGGCCGATGAGCCAATAGAAGGTGGCCTTAAAGACGTTGCGGGTTTCAGTAACACCTTGTGAGCATTATTTAAGGCGACTTTTGGTGCTTCAGTCCCATTATTAGAACCTGTAAGTTTCCATCAACAAATTTAAGTTGAAAATAAAGAAAATGATCATGAATTACCAAAATGCAAAAACATTCCATAAAAAGAGCGGACAAGGACAAATATATGTACCCATACGGGTTGGCCCGCATATGATCCATTGGATTTAAGATGTAAGGGTCGTGACTAAATGAAAAATAAAAATATGAATGTACAATTTAAAGTATTTCTATATATATAAAGTTCCGGAATGAGCCGCCTCGTGGCCATTTGGCTCCCCTTCATGGGCGGATACGAGTGATATTCGGCCCGAGAGTTGGGGCCGAGCTTGGCCGTCCCATATATCCATGACATTGGGAACTTTCAGGTTCGTCCCAGAATGGGCCCAGATCCATATTTGTGCATGTCTATTCCACATCTGGACATAGGGAACTTTCAATGGAGCGCAAATTTCGCAATTTAAACAAAAAAACTGGTGTTAAAAAAAATTAAGAACACTCCGTACACAATTGGATTTCAAGTTCATTGCATACCAGTACTAAGCTTCCCATTGGCATGAACCATCTTAAAATGTTTGGCATCTCTAGTGGTCCCTTTTCCTGCTGCTGCTGATACAGAATTCACCTTACTTGTCCGTTTTGATGACCCAAGAAACGACTTTGAGTCTGTGGTTCTAGTATTGGCCTTTAGTTATCAATCAGAGAAAGTATTCACAATATCATAATGAAAATACATATGTTGGTATAAGATACTCTCCATAGAATATGTATGAATTGTACTTTCATCATATGAGAAGGGACACATTATGTAGAAGATAAAAGAGTGAGAATGGTTAGTAGGATCCAAATTGTACTTTGATCATATGAGACCGGATACATTATAAGGAAGGAGATAAAAGAGTGAGGATGGTTAGTAGGATCCAGAAGACCTTGGATAGATACATTGACTATCTACAACAATAATTCAAATATGTAGTGATGTAGGTTAATCCAATGAACACAACAATGGACCGTGCATATAAAATCACAATCAAGAACATGTGGTGGATATCCTGAATAGGGGTATTCGGGCAGATGAAGAGGACTCAAAACCTGAGATCAGAATGATCCTAGTTCAGATGAGTACCATGCCCTCGGCCTCGTCCCGATGGGTCACGGAGTTGGCCAGACGGTTTTACATGGGGACTCTCTCTCTCTCTCTCTCTCTCTCTCTAATCTTAGAATCCCCCCATTGGTGCTCTCGTTGGGAGGTCTTGGACGTGAATCAAGCTGCTCCGATGCCGGGGATGAAGAGCAGCCAGAGTCTGCTGTGCAAGAAGGCTAAAGCAAGATATGTTCTAGAAGCTTCAGTCCCAGCGAAGCTATGCTCGGCTCCTTTGGACCTCCAAACCCCCGCCGGAGGACGTCTCACTGCAACTGTTACTTTTGAATAAGACGAGAACAGCGCCAGCACTTGAAGTGTCCCTCAGCGCAGACGCAAGAACAAAGATCTCCGCTCGTGGCTAAACTGCTAAGCTGATCATCAAATGAACGACGACGACAACCATTCAGAACTGAATCCAAATGGAAGATTGAAATTGACAAAGGTTGTTGTGCCTCTAAATGACAACGATGGTGAAGGATGGCTCACGTCGCCTCGGATTCTGCATCCTGAGTTGGTTGGAACGAGATGACAACTGTGAAGAATCGTGATTGCACAGTGGTCAGAGGACGGTGGCTTCGCTCTGGAGTTCATCATCCAGAAAATGCAAGGAGAATGAACTCTGCCACAGGGAACCTGAGCGAGACAACCAAGCTCTTCACAAAGAGATAGCGAAGCTCACCGCCATTCCGCCACCGCTAAACCTTGCCGCTCAGTGCATGTGGTTCAAGCAATCGAAGCTCCTCCGCTGCTGTCGGTGGTCCAACCCTGAAAATTCGCTAGCAATTGATGATACTTATGCCCGACATGCTGACCAGCGCATAGGGGGCAAGAAATTTGGCTAAGGGATCTTATCAAAGGGAAATGGAAGAGTCCATGATGGATGATGAAGCTCATCTCGTCCTTGATGGTGAGGACGGGTACAAACAAGATTTCCAAATGCACATTTTCTCCCATGGATTTGGAGATGTTGCAAAGTGTCTCAATACAATGACTAAATACAACGACAAAGATAATTAGAGAAATGCATTTGTACATGAATAAGAGCACAAGGAAACAACCTGTGGTGTTGAACATCAACGGTGATGATGAAGTTGGTGAAGATGATATGAACGTGGATAATATGAATGTTGGTTCTTCTGTAGCTTCAAACTCTTCCGTTACTCAACCAAATTTAGGTGCAAATGCATTATTTAAGAAGAGCCTTTGTTAAATTTACTCAGCCACAATTAAAATCTATTGTTTGTATGGTAGGAAAGAGGCCTCAAGAAGTGGTTGGTGAAAAGCATAAAATAGACCCAAAAGCAAGGAGAAGGAAATCTGGGTTTATATGCATATTTTTTATTTCTTCTTTGACAATATAATACCATTTAATGCTCCTAGTTCTAGAAGTTATGTGATTATAGAATCAATCGGGGAATATGGACCAAGGCTAAAACCATATTGTTTCACAAGTTATGTGTACCCCTTCTTCAAAAAGCAAAAGAAGATACGGAGAAGTTGAAAATAGACCATGACAAGTATTGGTCAAAAAATGATTGCACACTCATGTTAAATAGGTGGAAGATGGAAGAGGTCGTCATCTAATTAATTTTTTTGCAAACAGTTCTCAGGGGACTTTTTTTTTTAGAATAAGTTGATGCTTCAAGTCCCGTAAATGATGCAACCATGTTGGTAGACTTATTGAATAAAAAAGTTGAAGAAATTGGAAAAGACAAAGTTATCCAAGTAGTAAATGATAATGGTTCCAATTTCAAAGGCTCAAAGCTACTTGCAAACTACTTGAGGTCCCAATTCCGAAACTCTTTTGGACACTTCGTGCGGCCCATTATGTAGATCTCATGCTAGAAGACATTGAGAAGTTGCCATATTTTAAGGTCAAGATTGAAAATGCAACAATGCGAGAACATTTGTTTATAGACATGTGAGACTCCATGTTACGTCAAAAGAAAAAACAAATGGGAAAAAAATTGTTTGGCTACGAGTTACCCGATTTGTCACATTTACTCGCTTTATAGAGTATGTATAAGACTATAAGCACAATAATGCAATGTGAAGTGTGTTCATTAGTGAGGATTGGAATAGATCTATATTGACCAAGGCAAAGGCTGGAAAAAACGTTTGCGACATTGTAAATTCTTCTTG